TGCGAGAGGGGGGGGGGATACTATACATAGCGCGAGAGTGTCTGATATATATATATATATATATATATATATATATATATATATATATATATATATATAATAGTAGGAATAATATTGATAACCAAATGAGAAATTAATCAGTTCTGGTGGAATATAGCTGATATTAACCTAACAAATATGTTACTACAAAAAGACATACCATCTTCTAAGATTGATATCTTAGTAAATGCATTTTTATAATATTTAGAGAGAAGTAGGTAGTTTTTCTTTTCAAAGTGTCAACATGTTGTGGCCAGACAAAGGCTTTGACACAACAGTTTTAGTACGTAGGTGGTGAAACAAAGGAGTATTTTGTCATTGTATTTGTACTTGCCTGCAGAAGGAGCAGAAATAGCGCGCCGCTGAGCTTCTGCAGAGCTCATAGAAGAGAGGACGTATAATTGCTCTGTGGAGACCATTCGAGGGGTTGTATCATCCCTCTGTGGAGACCCCTAATGTTTGTTCTGGATATTTTTGATTGGTCACTTTTCTCTCAAGACCACTACAATTTTCTCCCGTCCAGAGCAAACATCTCTGCGCCTTTTTTCTGCCGCGGTATTTTGTCTCAACTCTGACACGCCGGGGTCATTTTAATTCTGCCAGATTGGCGTGTAAAGTTGTGGGCAATTTCAGCTTTCATGCCTGGCATCTGTATTACAAGGGCCATGAGAACCTGTGTAGGGAGAGAGGGATTAGATTAGATGATTGACGATTCCTGTGGGGAAATTAGATTTCAGCAGCAGCAATAGTAATGGGATTCGCAAGGGAAGAAGACAAACAGAATATATGTGCTCAGATGGAATAGGAAATAAGAAATAGAAGGGAAAATCTGAGCATTTAAGCACAGTTTGGTCCCTCTGAGGTAATGATTTTGAGTTTTACCTCTTATGTGGCGTTTGTTGCTAAATTATTGCAGACCAGAGAGGATGACTAAAATGTCCAATCATATGTAACTAGAGCTATTGCTGGCCAGAGACGGTTTAGGTGTTCATTTCACTGCAACTACTCCCCAATGCTTCTGAATCAGCTGTCATCATCAACCTGTTATGTACAGGGACATTGTAGGTAGAAAATATATATTTATGAGAAAAAATGTAGAAATTTTTAGATTAATCTCAGACCATTTCTAGAAAAAAGATGGAAATTTCTCCCCCCCAAAGTAAAATATTTGTGAGAAAAAAACTCAAGAATTTTGAGATTAATCTCAGAAATATTTGACTCTAAAAGTCAGACTTTATGAGCTCAGAAAATTTCTAAGATTTTTTTTGTTTTGTTTTGTTTTTTATGAAATTAAATACATGAAATTAATTGCAAATTTTCAAGTTTTGAAACTCAGAAATTTCCACTTTTTTTTCTATTTGGAAATTTTTGAGCTCCAAAAATTTTGAATTTGCTAGGAAAAAATGCAGAAATTTTGAGTTTAACCTCAGATATTTTCTAGAAAATATTTGGACATTTTTTGAGCGTGTTAAGTTGAAATTTTGGAACATTTTTCCAAGGTTCAAAAGTTGACTTTTAGATCTCAGAAATTTCCAAATTCTCAAAATTAAACAAAAGAAAAGAATCTTGCAGATTTAAAACATTTAGTGCACAGAAATTACCACATCTTTGCTAGAAAATATCTAAGATTAATATCAACATTTCTGAGTTTTTTTCTTGCAATTTTTAATAATTTCTCGCTCAGAAATTTCTAAGCCTTTTCTAGGGTTTGTTGGCTGAAATTTACTACTACACCTTATTTTGGTATCTACTTTGGCCGTAATAAGCTGCCATAGTTATGTAACACCTGCAAATCCACTATTTCCAGGTATCTGAGCAGAGAGGAGGTGGCCAAGGCTTCCCTCAGCAAAGCCCGGGAAGAAGGAGGCGGCGTCCGTGTGGTCACCAAGGAAAACTTCTTCACAAAGAGGAGATCTGGCAATCCACAAACACCGCCTGCTGCAGAGAGGTTGGTTAAATGTGGGTGGATATTTTGCGTGGGATAAGGCTCCTTAAAATCTTAAATAGCATCTTCCATACTGAAATTTTGACAAGATTTATTCAGCACTTGCAGGGATGACGTGTTATAAGTTGATCAGCTAATATATCTGGTCTTTATTATGGTTTGCACATAAAGGTGGATTGTCTTATATGGTTTCCACTTCGGGATTCAGACTGTTTTCCTTTTCTCCCCCTCAGTCGTCTCCATGGAGATCTGCGTGGCAGAGGCGCAAAGGCCTGCCGAGTGTGTTAGTACAGTAAATATAGCCCATAATACAATCCACCCATTTAGATGCAGCAACCAGCTCACCCCAGGAGGCAATATTTCTATGGAAACCTAAAGCAAATACTCCATCTCTCGCACAAATACACAGCATTCACAACAACTGCTGCTCCACACAGAGAGAGTTCATGGTGTGCCTGAGGGGCGCTATTTAGGATTAGTGCTTTAGCTCAACATACAGCTTTAACTTCGTCAACAAAGCTCAAGAGTGTGAAAATGCAGGGCTAAAGCTAGCATCACTGTGTCGATGAAGGAAGTGACGGTGTTGAAATGAGAGCATTTCAAATCACGTTATGCTGCTGGTTTTGGTTCTTTGCTTTCGTACACATTCTTTGTAAAAGATGCAAAAGTCAGGGAAAATAATCTCTATTGTTTCTGTTATTGTAGCTGAGAAAAATGTTCATGTTTAACAGTCCAGGTTTTAAAAATCTGAATATTCTTCTCAGGCTTTAAACGGATAAACCGTAGAGAGATAATGCATGTTGCCTTCAAAAATTCAGAAAAAAAACCTGTTACATTTAACAAATGAGAGAAAGTAATTCACAGCAAGTTTATGTTTTTCAGAAAAAAATGCAATACAGAGGTAAAATACTTTGATTTTTTTTTTCGTCTAAGTGAGACTGCAGAAAAATCCACAATATATATATATTGCAGCTCAAGTGAGACTCGTCTAAGTTTGAGTCTCACTTGTTTGTGGAAAGAGAAGTTCTGCCTGTTTCTGACAGCGTTCTCCTGCCTGCAGTAGCACTAAATCTCCTTCTCCAGCAGAATTTGCATCAGTCTCGTTGTAGCTGCCAGATCCCAATCCAAAGCCTTATTATTAGGTGAAATATTAGCCTACTGTACTGTTATTCAGTACTTATTCATTTATTCAGTTTTATTAACATAATTTGTTTACATTTCTCATACATTTGTTCATTAATTCCGGTGAATAAAACCTGTAATTTTCTCTTAATTATTTCAACTCTGCATCACCGGTGTATCCACAGGAAGCAACAAATAAATTAAAATGCCTTTTCATTGACAGCTGGACCTGCCCTACTCTCTCTGGTTTCCTTTTGCTATAGAGCATCAGAGACGAGCTGAGGTGGTAAACATTAGCATGCTGTGCGCCATTTGCTGAAGGCATGTTGTGTGATTTCCGAGGTTTAAAGAATGAATTTACAGAGAGTTGCCCCATGCTGCTCTGCGGCGCACATTCTCCACGTACAGGCATGAATTTAAATTAAGCTAAATATAAAACACATTGCTAAAAATTCGGGTTTTGTTGCCCCTTTCAGTTAAAATTGAAGTTTTCCAAGGTTTTCTTGACCGGCTTCAGATTGGGGACACCAGTAAATAGTCTATTTCTGTATCCCTTTCATCCACTTTACTGTACTGGCACTGGGTTCGTCTCTTGGTGCTTCCAATTTTTTGGTATCTTCACAACTTTGAAGCAGCAAGGTTCCTTTTTTTAGAAGGTTTTCTTCTCTATTTCAATGATTGCATTTCCCTCTGTAGTGCTGTGTCTTTCTGGCTCTTTGTTCCCGTCTCTGTCTATCTGAATTGTAAACCACGGGGAAAGAGAATTCAGTCCATCTGTCCGCTCCAATGTGGCTCTAGCACCCTGCTGGGAAAACATGGCAAATACCCAGATTTGCTGTCCCCTGCCAAAAGGACAAGCATGCACACACACACACACACACACACACACACACACACACACACACACACACACACACACTCGGATTGTTGCTGATGATACATCAGCTTCATGAATATAAACAGTCTGAAGGTATTTCACAGACTGCAGCTATATGCCACCCCAAGTCTGTGTTTGCAGAAATGCTTTGATTTCATTTGTATTGGATGAAAATGTGTATTGAATTGTTTTCACTGCTCTACTGATGCTGAAAAAGCAGGAATTTAGAAGACTGGTGTAAGGTAGCTTCACTTTGTGTGCTGCTGCAGCAGTCATCTTAATAAAAAGATTAGATTGCACACACTGTTTTGCTTTTTTCAGTAAGAGCATTCCATATGTTTTCTGATGTGTTTAATAGTTTGGTTACTTCTCCATTATCTCACATTTAGATGCTTCAGTGTATAAATAATTATGTAAATTATTTACATAATTTAAAATAGAAGTAATCTGACGTGTCAATATCAATTTTATCTAATTTCAATTTATCTTTAGGACCTATAAATAACAAAACAATTATTTCAACTTATATAGATATGTATATAAAAAACAACAATTTTCTCAATCATACCAAAATTATTGTCATCCCTTCTTTAATCTATGCAGCTTGAATAAGCAGAGTGAACATATCTTTGTTAAAATCTAGTTTTGTTTTAAATTTCTGGTACTGGAAATTTGCTAACATTGAATCTTCTGCCCACACTAATAGCTTCTACACTGAAGAGTGCTGCTGAGTCTGGTGTAAAAGCCGGTTTCTTGGTGATTTTCTAATCTTTATGTAATAAAGCTCTGTTTTGAAATAGATCTTTCTTCTCCTTGAACTCTGCAGACTGGACCAGCAGTCTTGCAAAGCAGAAGATGAGCAGCCATCTTCAGAGCCCAGCTACCTGCAGGCTGTGGACAGTCAGGGTGTCCCTCTGTGCCTCTCCTGCCAGCAGGCCTGTCCTACCACAGGTGGAGCTTGGGATACTCGATTCTGCAGCCACAGGTACAAGATTACCAACGTTTACAGAAATTACAGTGAAAACAGATCAATGACGTGTTTCGATTTGGTTTCTCCTGCACGATCACAGCTACAGCAATGCTAGAGTTCCAGTCCAGACATTTCGGTGATGTTTTCCTTCCAGATGCCAGGAGGAATTCCAGTTGCGGTCCAGCCAGACGTTCATGCGTTCCTGCGTCCTGGAGGCAGAGCAAGGCATTTGTCAACACTGTGGCCTCAAAGCTCATGAGCTGTTCCTGAAGGTCCGTGATGCACCAGCCTCCAAGCGGAAGGAGATACTGGAGAACACATGGCTGGCCCAGCTGCCACTTAAACAGGTCAGTAAGCTGAAACATTCAACAAAAATATTTCATCTTACAAAACCTGTTTCTGTTCATTAAAGAAAACACAGTTTACTTTTGTTCTGGGTAGCATGTTAGCTTAGCGCTGCTTTAGCAATGCTTAGGACGTATTTTAGCTTTATTACATTTGAAATTTGGAGCCTGTGTGGACAAATGTGTTCAAAAAGGATTTATAGAAAAGTAGGTACGGTTTTTAAGTTCAACAAGGAATAAAACATTTTTTTTAAATGGCTGCTACCTACCTGCCATGATGTTATTAATGCAGACAAAAGGTAAGTCCTGCAGTGCATTTTTTATGTACAAGCTAGCCTGATAGCAAGAGGTAGTAACACTTTTATGACATTCTTTGAAAATTTAATTTATTTAGAAACATTTGAACTGTTTTGATAGTATTTAAAACATGATTTCAAAAAAATAATCTTCCTTTAGCATGTTAGCATGCTAGCTGGACAGAAATATGTCATTGGGTTCGTTTTGTTTTCTGCTGTGAATTGTTCGACAATTCACTAACTGTACATTTAACAAACAGTGATACAAGCCTGGTTTTCCTAAGAACCGTCTGTTATAAAGGAGGGAGAAAAGTTCACATACATATTTAGTCTCGCTTGAGTGTGTTAGCATGTTAGCATGCTAGCAGTGTCAAGCTAAATCATGTTGGGGGGTTTTTAGGTGTTGTAGCTCCATAATTATCAATCCTACCTGCAAATTGTTAAGCAGTAAAGTATTTGATTTGCTAAAATGTGATAACTGTCGAATCTATACTTGAGCAGGTTAATTATACCATCTTATTTTTCAGTGATAAATGCTAAGCAAAAATTTTACTGTATTTAACATTTAAGAAAAGGTTTTTCTCAAACATCTTTATGCCTAACAGGAGACTTTAAATGTGAGCTATATTTATTTTCTTATAAAAAAAAAGGGGGGGGAGGCTTTTTTAAAATTTTTATTTTATTGGTGTTTGTGTGAGTTCAGAAACTGAATTCGCCTCCCTTTCTGTCCATCCGTCCCACCTACGCAGATACACACACAAACACACAATAGTGCAGGTTGAGCTGCACTCCGAGGGGCCAGCTCCCAGTAAATGGATTGCTGGGCCCATTGATTTATTTTTTTTTCTCCTAGTGCCAGGCCCCGACCAGTAAGCCTGTTTGATTTGGTTGGCTGTTATCCTGCAAAGCCAGCCCCCCACCACACACACACACACACACACACACACACACACACACAGATAGATACCCCACATCTTCCCAGTGCCGCCGGCATCAGCATCAGCGCCGATCGATGCTCTGAGCTTTAGAGGAAACAAACTCGGCCACATGATAAGACGCCGCAGTGGTGGAGAAGCCTTGAGATTATAGGCTCATTCTTTGGTTCATACTAGGGGTTCTGGTGTGTGTGTTTGTTCCCAGGTGTGTGTACATGTGTATGCATGTCTTTGGGGTCGCTCTTTCTTTTTTTTTTCTACTCTGAGAGTGTGTTTTCAGGATATGTTAAAGCCTTCAGGTGCATTTGAGCTAAGTCTTGGCGTATTTGAAAGTGTGCAACAGCAAGGTCGGGTGCAGGAAGGTGCACGTTGTTGGCAAGATAGCAGGTTTAATTGACTAAAACGTGTGTGTGTGTGCGTGGGTGCGTGTGTGTGAGGTGAACTCTGCCCGTTTGAAAAGGCCTATTCTTTAAATCTGCTGGGATCAATTCCACCTCGCTGCCTTAATGTCGGCAGAGTACTTCTCAAAGCGGGAAAATAGATTTTTGCTGCTCAAAACGCCTCTTTTCCTCTGGTTCTTCGTCATTATCGTTTGTTTCTTTACTTGTTTTTATTTCTTCTATGTTTTCTATCCTAAAAATCAACATATTCTGGGCAGCAAGTGAACTAAACAACCTAACACTTCAACATCTGAATGAATAAATCTGATATTTCTAAGTCATGTTAGACTTGTTGTGTTTTGTGATGCTTTTGGGGTTTTTTCTAGCGATTTATTCATGAGGAAATAGTTTGGATGCAGCAGCAGAAACACTAGTAAACTTGGCAGTGAAATAATTGCAGCTGTGCTACCAATGCTAGCCCTTTGGTGGCCTTGAGATTTAATTCCTCTGGATGTTTCCAGAAGATTGAAGCGGACCAGTTTGGCCCACATAAACACACTATCTGCTATAAATGCCACTAGATTGCAAAAGGTAGCTGAAAGCTACCCCACTTCTTCACGACAAAGTTTCTTCAAAGTGTGTAAAAAAAATAATCTTGTGTTGCTTTTTTTCCTGCTCTTCACCTTAATTAGCCATTCTCAACTGGCTTGAGCTCATGTGCGTCTGTTTCTTTCTGCTTTATGCCCCACGAGGGAGCAGAAAGGTGTTTCCTCCCTGGGATTAAATTTGCATCTGTAATGGAAGATGTGAAAATAGCACATCTCCAGAGTTTGTAAACGTCTCCCGAGCTAAATGATTAAGTAAGTTTTTCTTTTGTGTTTTAGACCACTATCTTGCTAACTTGAAAAGTTAAAAAGAAGGGAGAAAGTTAAGTAATTTAAGGAGTTATGTATCTTACCACAGCGCAGAATTCCCGGCGGTATTTTTAACCTAATTTCTGCCTACTTCATCAGATGGACTTGCGAGTTCTCCATGATGAAGGTTCCCTAAAGCTGCCCATTATATAGGTCACTCAGGTGATTTATATGGCTGTACCTGGGGCATCCGATGATGATGGATAATGCCGGGTTTGAAGTTAACTCTCAGTGATTCAGCGGAGATATTGTTTTAAGGAGCCGGTCTCACATCCTTGCATTTATGTCAACCTTTGAAGCGCTAATAAGGAGAAGTTTTTCTGCAATTTTCTCTTGTTATCTGTTCTTTTCTGTCTTATTGCTTTGAGAAACGTTCCACAAAAAAGCATCTCTGCAGTGCAGAGATTTGTTGAGTCATTTGTGAACAGTAGCTTGAAAGCGTATGCACACATTAGATTTTTTTTCTCCCATTTTGGGGGATTTTCTATGATAAACCAACACAAAGTAAAGTTGTAAAGTAGAAGGGAAATTATGCATTTTTGGAGAGAAAAACAGCATCATGAAGACCAAGGAACACAGCAGTCAGTGGTGGAGTTGTAATGTAAAAAGAAGCTAGCAATAACTTTAAAATGGTTAGAATGCATAGTAATGCATATTAATGTGCTCTGATGGCCTAGTCAAAGTTCAGTCCAAAATCCATTTCGAGTCTGAATATTAAGATTTGCTGATGTTCAAATTTATGTCTCACTTTTCGACTTTTATTTTTATAAATTTTACAAACTGTGCACTGTTTTTCTGCTTCTTCACCAATAGGGCTGAAAATCGTATTAAGGTTTTCTTTTTGGTCGATATCAATAATTATTGATTAGTTTTTTTGAATCAGAGTACAAAGCATAGAATTATGTAGAATTTTATTCAACATCAGGACAGATAGTGATATTTATAGATATAAATATCAGCTGCTGCTCAAGCATACATCCCCCAGAATGCTGTGCGGTTCTGGATCGGAGTTTAATTAAATTATTGAAAATTCTGCACCACTTTATGTTGATCTTTCTCACAAAATCTTGATGAAGCAGGTTAAAAAAAACAGTGCAAATGGATGAAGAAAAATGTGGCATTGCGCTCACACCGTGGCCTTCTGGTTGTGTCCGCAGCTCAACGAGATGATCCGCGCGCCGGTGGAGGGAGACTTTTGGCAGGTGGACCACATCCAGCCGGTGTACAGAGGAGGAGGACAGTGCTCCATGGACAACCTGCAGACGCTCTGCACCGCCTGCCACAAAGCCGTACGTTCACACGACGCATCAGCAGTGGCTTTTAAAGCCAGAGGGCCTTAAGGGGCAAAAGCAATTTGTTTGACATTTAAGGCTCTCAGTGGATAAAGCTCCCCTCAGAAGACGCTCTCATCGCTCATGTTGAGGATCACATACGGTGTCAGTAATGCAATCCGTGGTCAAACACATTGATCAAAAGTCACATTATCCCCCCTCAAAGCTATATACTCCCTATAATAACGTCACATGATGTGGCCGCATGACACATTGATGGATAGCACTTGTTGAAGCGGGGCTGCCTCGCATTTTCCCTTCACTCAATTTTCCATAATCGCAGAAAATGTACTTCTCTCGAAGAGAGGCGACTCGACTGGTTCCAAAATAAAAACACGGCTTGCATTGTTGCCCGAAATGCGCTCCGCTTTCACGCCAGGAAGCGTTTTAGTCAGAGTGGGTGTCAGATTGGAAGGAGAGAGCCTCGCATGTAGACGACCATGAACTGATGTGGAGCACTGGGCCTCCTGATAAGGGGATCTTCTCCGCTGTTCATGCCAGCGCTGCAGACACTTCAATCTAAACATGCCCGAAATATTGATCCCCCCCATCCCGACTGCAGGTTTAAACTCTTACATCATGCTGCTTCTTTTTTCTCTCTCTCTCTCTCCACAGCGGACGGCTCAGCAAGCCAGAGAACGCAGCCAGATGAAGAAGAGCGCCGCTGCCTCCAAGGTTGCGTCAGACATCAGCAGGTTCTTCATCAGGAAATAAAACGCCTTCACAGTTGATTAAAGTAGGTTTAGGTTGGAAATTATTTTGATTTACAGTAACTGGTTGAGGATGTGTGAAGAAAAAACTTGAGCTTTTTCACTTTTTACAAACTTCAGTCTATTTTATTAGGATTTTATGACAGACCAATGAAAAGCTTTGATTTATTGTTTATTCAGGTGAATTAGATTCAAGGGGTGAAATACGAGTTCATTATTAAAATTTACAACTTTTTTACTGCTAATATGATACCAATATTGCAGTATCGGTATTGTATTGTTACTTTTGTTATTTCATAGTGTGAATTGTTGTTTCTATCAGAGAATTTACATCCAAGCCGATAAAATAAGATTCTTGTTTTTTTGCTGATATTACACTGATTTCCGATATCGACATTGGATCGGGATACCTCTAAAAATTGTCTCATTTTCCTTTGCACAATTTTTGCACTGTTTTCTGTTAGAACGAATTGATATGGTTTAAAAATAAAATCTACGACTTTTTTCATACCAGATCCGATTTTTTTTCTCTCTTTTTCTTTTCTAAAAAATAAGTTACAAATGACAGAAAATATATAAAAAAAGAGGCTTGTATGCAAGTCATTCCTTTTGTGATGGATTATTGGGGCCGGTCTATGAGAATTTTTATTTAATTACGAGAATATAGTCAGAATATTAGCAGAAAAAAGTCTTAAAATTGCGAGAATCTGATCTGAGCATCTCAGTTTGAAATAGACAATCATTTCTCAGTCCAGTACTGATAATGATTTGATGCTGATGCCTATTTGTAAAACTTTACAAAGTCTTCACAAGATGCTCAACATTCCTCTTTGTAATTTTTTATTTTTCATGTTGGAGTTCTCATAAAGTTACTACTTTATTCTCTTAATATTTCGTCTTTATTAAAAGTCTTTTACTGGGCCTACCTAATATTTTATTGTAGAATTGGCCTGAATTCAAGGTCCAAATATATAGAAGCTGGAAAACAAGATGGTGGCCTTGGGTGGTACAAAGAAAAATCCAGATTTTCCTAAAATCACATCTTCAAAAGCCGCCCAGCTCAAGTTTGTGTTGATCTTTCAAATAAAATCCCAACAAACTGCTGAAGGTTGACTGTAAAGTAACAAAATCGTACTTTAATACGGCGCCGTCCTGACATATCTGGATGAATCACTTCCCAATGACATCACCCCTCCGCTCCCCGTCTCCGCTAGCCCTCATTACATCAGAACATGCTCCGAAAGAGATTTATCTAACAGGTTAAAAAAGAAAAAAGAATGGTGACGACTTGCTTCAAATGCAAATTCAGCCAACTTCCCTCTCGTCCCCGAACCGTCACGAGCGCGTTGGGTTTGATTTATGACGGCCCCCTTTTTCTCTTTCGCTCCAGGCTGAAGTGGAGCGCGTTGTTTAGAGATGCTTCTATTTTAAGATTTTGCAAACTTGGTAAAAAAGAAAAAAAAACACAATAAAGGTAAGAAAAAGTGAAAGCAGGTGAGATGAATTGAGGGGATTGAGATGGAACGGTGCTGCAGAAAAACACAACCAGGTGTCCTGCTTGGTCCTCAACATGTGGACCTTTTGCAATTCTTCTTATGATGGATGGGAGAAATAAATAGCTCTATTCTTTTTCTCTCTTTTTTTATTCTTGTCTTCCTTTATTCATCTGTAAATACTCTCAGCTGGGAGATCATTTCATCGCCTCAAGTCAGGAACATTATCCATGTCCACGCATCTACATCCTCTTCAGCTACGCTTGATGATCTGAGCAGAGGTAGAGCCGTGCGAGGCTATGTTTAGAGAGCGGGAGAGCCGAGTTACTATGGAAACAAGGCTTCAGGTTCAGCCATGTCGGGAATATTGAATCTGTTTTTCTCCTCGTATATGTGTGTGTGTATGAGAGTGTTACACAATGAGCCAGACATCAGAAAACTCCAATCAATATTAGCGGGCTCCTGCGAAAATGAGGCCGTCGCATTCCTCCTGACAGCGCGTCTGTCAGGCGTGTCAGAGTCCTAGCTCAGCACAATCCCGCCACCGCCTGGAAAACTTTAACGTTTCCCTCTGACAGCCCCAAACTTCACGCGTCGCGTCAAAACTCCCTCGGAAAAAAGCGTGCGTGTAGGTGTGTGCGTGCGCGTATTTCCCCTACGGCTGCTCCAGGTCTCCACTTAATAAGACCGTTGTTCCTCTCCTGTCCAAACCGACAAGCTTTGTGAGTAATGAACATCTCCCAGGCAGCCTTCCAACAACAGCAGGTTTCAGTGTCAGTCCCTGTCAGCAGCCAATGACTCTGATCTGCTGTTTTATTACATCCAAAAGGTGTGTGTGGCAGGACGGGGAAGTTGTGAGGAAAGTGTGGATAAAGAAATCGGTCTGGTAGAGGAGGGGAGGCGTATGTTTGTCAGAGGAAGCCCGTAATGAGGCGCCGGTCCGATGAAGTCGTCTCATGTTCCTCCCAGAAGGTCTGCTGGGTAAAGAGCAGCGCTTCGGTTTGCGTTTGGAAAAACACCCTAGAGGAGAAGCACTTCCCCCGCAGGTGATCTCGGTAATAAAGACGGACTCAAACGCCGACGGAGGGCCGCAGAGGTTTCCATGTTTGCTCTCAAACACATTACTCCCTCTTGTTTTTTTTTTTCTTTAAATCAGGATGAGGCCAACACCCCAGCTCGCTTCTCCGAAATCAATATCTTTCGTCTCCGCGTTACAGTTGCAGAGACGTCCCCGCGGGTTTCGTAGCAACAGCACAGGCGATAAAAGTCACAAGGCTTAAATTAGCTGCGGATCTGGCGGAAATAAGCACATATAATTAGAAAGTCACAGTTGGTGACAAAAAGGAAACAGGAGAAAAGTTCTTTCTGGAAAAAAGTACCATCTTAAGAAAGTCAAGCTGAATGACTCATATGTGAAAATCAGATAAATGATCATATGGATGTAAGAGTGGACCGTATGCAATAAACTTACAGGGTGGGATTGTCATGATGCACAAAGCAGGGAATGGAGACAGAAAGAAGAAGTTTGGCGCTGAGAAATGGTCAAAAAAGATGCAAATAAGGCAAAGAAAACAAGTTTATATTCATTTAGAAACAACAATACTGATGCTTTAACTCAGTTCAGAAATCAATATTTGGTGGAATAACCAGGATGTTTTCAATGGGGTTCAGTGCAGGATTGTTGGGTAACTATTATTGTGTAAAATTATTACACAACTAAATAAAATACACATTTTTCCCTCGAAGAGACTTTTGGTCATTTTTGACAAGTTAAATCAACATTTTGACCCATTTTGCCTAAACAAGCATTAAAGTTTATCCAGGTTAGAGAAAGAAAATATGCCTAAATTGATGATCTGGTTGTAATACTCACTTGCCTAATAATTGTGCACATAGCATGTAGTGAAGGTTTTTTTTGGTCCTATCATGGCATCAGAGAGAAAAAAAGAAATGCCTTTTCCCCCTCATAGATGCATCATTTCTCGAATGTAGGTCAGAGGACCCCAGGGGCCTTCATTGGGCCCCTACGGGTCCCTCAGCAAATTAAGAAATAGATTAATAGGGCTGCAACTTAACTCCATAGGAAATTCCTCAATTACAGATACTACATGAGATTTAAGGAACGATTAATGTAAATGTAGGTTTTCTTCTCACACCGTCTCCTTGGAGATGACGAAAGCTGTCTTCTTCTGGAGTTTGGGACATGTTGTACCGCACCGCAAACTGTCCGGATTCCTTCATTACTCTTTCCTGATTTGCAATTCAGATAGCCGGCCGCTCTATTTGCCCTCATTCCAGCTGTAATCCATTTCAACCTTGCCTGCCCCTGTAATCTACTTTGGCCTTTTCAGCTAAAGGAAACGCTTCCACAAACCCAATCTAGTGTGACAGGTGTGATGGAGAACGGCCAATAAAAGCCGGCGCGGGGCGCCGCGTGAAGCCGCCGGCTCTCCAATCGGCGGCCGGGCCCCGCTGTGGTTTGGTTCCTGGCTGCCATGCTCTCCGCTGCGCTCCCTCTGCGCCGTTGACCCTCTGTGCCCTTGGGCGAGGGGAAAGGGAAAAGGACGCTCAGGGGAGGCCGAACCCCGCCGCTCTTTTCGGGAACGGCATTGTCTCTACAGAACCTAATTACAGCAAACAAATACACCTCTGCATTGTGGCGTTCAAATAACATCCTGTTTTAAAAGGCTACACCCATAGTTATCTATTAATGAGTTAATATGACATCGATTGATTTTATTGATCATTTAATAAGCAGCCATTTTCTTAAAAACCTGAATTTTTTCTTGCATCAAGAGCGTTGAACCTCTTCGACGAAGGGCTAAATGTGTCACAATATGCTAAATTAAAAAGAAAAATACATTATATTTTAGCATTATTTTGTGTCAGCTGTGTTAAGATGATTGTGGTTTCTCATATTATTATTAAACTTTTATTAAACTTAGACATAATTAGAACATATAATCAATTTGGTTGCTTAATCAAAAAATAAAAGATGAAAAGAATAAAATATGTGAAACAGAGAAGTTCACACCAAGAACTGTAACTCACTGCGTTTCCAGTGACCAGATAATTATGTAATTTGAAATTCAGGAAATAAAATTGCTTAATGGAAACACGTCAAACACGCCAGGATGAGGCATTTTTTTAAATTGGTTAATTGCAATGGAGACACTTTCTTTAGCCTTTCATGAGTCACATGATCTACAACCGGATGTGACCATTGGTACAAACCATGAAGAAGAAGATAACAGGAAGTAGTAGGATGATGGCACTGCATGTTTTTTAATGACTTATCACATAAACAAACTTAATCAAGTCTAATTTTAATTGCGTTTCTTATCCAAGTGCGAAATTGTAACATAAACACCACTACTGAGTATGAATGCAGACTTTATCGTCGTTTTAGGACATCTGAAATTAGTTTTGGTTGAAACGTTAACGCTGTTGAGTGTTTGTATATCAAAGCAGAACCACATAAAGTGCATTTTTCATCCACATAAACTGTTTGGATCATGTAACCTTCCTGCTGT